AAATGTGCAATGGATGAGAGGGGAAAAATATGCGTAAGGGCTATTACTGAGAAATACTTTATAAGTATCTAAACTGGCCCATATAAAAAGGCAGTAATAATCTTTGAAAAGAGAGAGCACATGAATTCTTGCATCAAGCATATGTGTGTTTGTGCGCAAAGGGGAGGAGGGAACTGGAAAAGGAGGGAGGAGAGAGATGAGGGCATTCATATTGAGGCCTGGGTAGGTATAACAGGGTGAGATGTGTTGTATCATCAGCATGACTGCAAGCCTGGTGAGCTTGTGATTCTCCAAGGAGACAAAATATCCAAATGGGAGGTTGGTGCCTGACTTTTTTCTTTTTATCATTTTCATCATTTGCCTATGAACTCAGAGGAGCATTTTATCAGTCATGGAAAATGCCCCCAAGGGGCCCAGATCAAAGGCAGGCTTTGAATTGTGTACTTAGGTGGATCTCCCTGCCAAAGACATTAATGCGATTAAAACACAAATTCCATAAACAATTATTTTCCATCTGTTTAGCAATAATAATAGTGATGCTATGTGCTGTCAATGGTGTCCTTCCTTACAATGAGGCACCGAGTGAATGCAAATACCCTTCTGCACGTGGATGCTGCAGCACTTTGGGAGGGTTTGGGAGGTTTCATCTGCCAGCAGGACAGGAGAGTGGCCACTGTCACCATGCAGGGATCTCTGGAAAAGAATGGCTGTACTTTAACTGTCATTTGCAAATAGATTCATTAAAACAACTCATTGCATTCCATCAATTGTGCAGTGTACTTGTATACCGGTGTAAACTGGAGATTTGTCATTTACTGCCCCTGCCTCCATGTTTATTTCTACTGTCAGGTACAGAAAATGTACCCCTCTTTTTGCCCCTCTTAATTATCCCTAGTATCAATAACTCTGTTCCTTATTGATGGAGGAAGGGAGATTCAGCAGGACTGCCAGTCCACGTGGTTCACTCACAGTTACACATTCAGAGACCTACTCATGTTTGTTTGGATTCACAACACATACTCTGAGTAGGGAGAAAGAGAAATCTATAAGCTTTAAAAATCTCTGCCTAAATCAGACCAAGAGATTAAAGGGGGAGGGCAAAGGGGAGGGCCCAGACCAATTTCCGCACACCAGCACTCGTAACATGGGGATAGATTCCTGAAAGAGAGACCGACCGGCACAAGAGTTTTCATCAGTGGAATTTTAATGAGCCCTAAAGGTTAGCCTTTGACTTCGTTAACAAACAGCTCTAGAGATAATTTCCAATTTTCAGTGTTTATAGAATAGTGGTTCCTTGGTCATAATGAAATTCTGAGACTGTCTAGAGCCTATTCTGCATGTCCAGCTGAGGCTGAAACACAAACCGTCAAAAACAATTAAACGTGTGCTCAAAATCAAATGTAGAAGAAATAAAAAGAGGAAGACATTTTGCAAATTAAAGTGATCACATTAACCTCCTTTGATGAAATTGGTTCAGTCAAATGAAAAATACTTATTAAAAAAATAAACTCTGCACAGATATTTTAGCTTTTAAGGGGGTAATGATTATTCTAATATTGAAATGGACACAGATGAGAAAAAAGAGAGATAATAAACAAAAGAGGAAAGCTTCATTTCCAGTAGCTAGAGACCAGAGTCTCTATTATGTGTAAGTGGGTTGTAAATGTGTAGAAAAGAATATAGATGCAAAGATTGCCAAAATTGACACTAAAGGATAAAGGATAGGTCAGTTTTTTAAGGAAATACATCCCCTCTCCTTCTCCCCTCTCCCCGCTTCTTCAGGTTTTACTGGGCCCTTGAAGAACTGCCATAATTGCACCAGAAAGGAAACAAGTATGAATGAGATTCCAGCCACATAAAACAAGAGCAATGGGTGATTAGGACAAAGGGCCACATCTAAAGATTTCTTTTTCCCCCAAATTGGGTGGAAAATCCCTTCACTTTCTCCAAAAGGATGATCAAATCTCCTACTGGTATGGGGACCAACAGAAGATGTTTGAGCTGTAAATGCTGGGAGAAATATTCTTTAGTTTATTTAAAGTTAGGCTAAATTTTATTTCTTCCAGTGCAACAAATCCCTTTCACTCCCCAGGCTTGCCACTTCCCTTGCCTCAAGTTGACAAGTGGTGGTAGGTGGCAGAACCCTACTACAGCCTAGGTCCTCTATTTCTGAGGACACTGGTTTGCTGTTGGATAACATCAGACTCCTCAGGTTACTGTGAGGAACAGCTGAAATGAAAGCACCATATGACAAATTCCAGACACCTACACAAGGCACATAGGTCCTTTGTTATCTGGCCTCACCTGCCATTTCAGTAACGTTTTTCATGCCTTAATGTCCTCATGCCTGCTGTCCCTTCTGCTTGAGGTGACCACTTCCCCAGTCCCCTCTCATTACTCCTCTTTCTCCAGCTGTAAACACCTGTTCACCTTTCAAAATCTGGCCACAAGGTTACTTTCTCTGTGAGGCTTCCTGTCTTCTCAGCATTTTCCGTAGTACGCATGGTTACAATGCTGACTGTATAGGATAATGATTGGTTGGTTATTCTTCTCTCTCCCCTTCTTAACCAGGGAGCTTATTGAGGGCAGAGACTATATTTATTTCTCTTTGTATCTTCAGTGCCTAGCAAAGGGCATGGACCATCTTATTTACTCTGAATAAACAAGGAAGGAAGAAAGAGAGGGAGAGAGGGAAGGAATATCCTTCTGAAACTATAAAGCACTATATACTATAAATACAAAGTATTACTAACAAGAGAAAGATGCCCACTGTTTGATGCCCTCCTACTGTTCAGGAATGAGCTTACTGTTTTCACAGGCAAATGCTCCAACACAAAATGGGGCAGGCAACCATGAGAGCAGGAAGCTGACTTCTCACTCCCCATTTACCTGCCTGATGAAGAGGTACACGATTTCCCCAGGATACAAGGAATGCCCTTCATTAATGCCATTTGCTAGCAGTAATTTAGTTAACTGAATAATCACACAAAGTAAAGAACACAGAGACTTAAGGATCTCTGTCTAATGCATGATACTAAGATATTTTATAAGGAGGCAAGTAGTTAAGTGTGCTTAAATGCAATCACAGAGCATTTTGTTTGGTCATTTTCATCTGGAGGTTTTAGAAAAGCCAGGAGAGAAAAGCAGCCTCCTCAGGGATTTTTCCTTAAAGAGTACAATTTTTACAAAAAGCTGAGTGTACAACTTGCAAAATAATAAGCTTCAGTGATAACACAAGCTTCAGCTACAATTATCACAAAGAGCAAGTCTGCTGCCCAAGCTTCTAACCTATCCTTGTGACTACAGAACAGCCCAAAATGTCACATTCAAGTTGAAGTGACTGCAGCCAATTAGGTAATTTCCACAAAATTGGGTCCATTAATACTTGGACATTATCTTGAGGGTGAAATAGGATTCAGTGACAAGGTGCAATGTGGCTTGTGAAATATTAGTTTTGGACAATCACAAATCAGGATCCAAGGGTATGTTAAATTATTCAGCATTCCTGACCTCATTATTAAGTGACTTCATATGGGTTTTTGCTCATATTCATATAATCTTAGGATAGAAAGAGCTTGATTTTTGTTTCCTTTCCCTAGCCATTTCCCTTTTTATGTATCAGAGATTTTATGTATATCTCTTTATTTTTATCCTGTTTAATTTTAGAATTTAAAGGGCAATGGCTATGGTTTTGTTTGGGGAACACACAATGAGGACACTTGCTCATATGATGACACACATCAGAATTATGAATATTAGTTAGAAATTTGGTTCGCATACTTTTCTTTGCTAACACACAACTTCAGGTAACAGCAATTTTTCCAGCCAAACATCTGCCTTGGTCTGCCAAGTATCGAACAGAAAGCTGTGATTTGTAACACATGGTTTTATAAATGAGTCAGAACTTCAAGGCCAAGTCGGCTTCTGGAAGTGTTCTAAAATGATAGCAACAATATTATTTTCCAAAATAATGGGAGAAAGCCATAAAAACACTCTCCAGGAAGATCATGTACCAAAGATGTTGGTTGATTTTGTTTTGTTCCAAAGATGTTTGGAACAATGATTAGTTGGTGCTGACAGGATTTCTACAACTAGGAAATGTGTTGGACATTTAAAACTTTAAATCAGTGTTCCAGTAAATTCTAAAGAACTTCAACCAATTGCACAATTATCCTAAGAATATGACTACCAGATATTGCTTAAACATACAAGTTAAAACACTTTATATCATTGGGTCAAAGCAATGATATGGACCTGGAATAGGAAAATTACCAGATAATGTGACTGAATCAGTGAGTATCTGCCAAAAGAAAAAAATCTCTTTGAGATGAACAAAAGAAATGAGGTAGCATTAGGCTACTCATAGGACAACTGGCTAGAGCACAGTTTCTTCTTTGAGATGTATTTTGTAATTCTGTTAATGACTCAGACCAAAACAAATACTTTGAAAGCAGAAACACAGAATTCCATTTCAGCATATCCCAACCAGATGGGATCAGAACAGGTGTGATCATTTTAGAGTGTTCTTCTCTATAAATCAACTTCTGGTTTGTTCCAGAGTGGGGCTGTCAGCTTTTAGGCACCCAATGAAGTTGAGAATTTTTAGCAAACTAAACACAGCCATTAAAATAATGTTTGAGTTAGTTTTAATCACAGTGACCTAGATTCTCATGCTCCCCAGGACCTCACTGTATCTCTTCCATGTGTGATATCCATGGGAGGGCTGCACATGGGGAAGACTCACTGAGTGCAGAGCAGGAAGAAGAATTTAGGTCAATTACCTTTTGAAGTCTGATTCCTTTAAACAGCTACTCAAGGTAGTATCTTGCTAACAGAGCTGTATATAATAAAAGTGGCCTGTGCTGTTTCTTTAAATACTGCTTTTTGGTTGTAAGCGATCAAAGTATTAAATTTGTGTAAGAAAAAAAAAAAAAGATCAAGAGAAGTTTCATCGATGTTCTTTCTGGAATCTATTAGGAAGGAGTAGGTATGTGGTTTACCTCTCTTAAAGTCTGGGCTTGAAAGTAGGTGCCTCCATTTCAGTCTCTTCCAGCTGAGCTTTTGTTTTCTCTGTCTGTAAGTTGAGGAGAGAAGAAGTTTAGATGTCACCTCAGGACTTTTGATAATATATTAGAAAATTAAAAAAACGTGAAGCAGGCGAATGTATGGGGAGGAGTATTTACTATGGATCCATTCCCCAAAGTTTGAAAAAAAAAAAAGTATTGTATATGTGAATGTGTGTTTCCTTTCATTAGCTCTTCGGGAAACAAGATTTTTTTCTCAAACTATGAAGAAAAATTTGTTAAGGTTTTTTTTTTAACCTTTAGAAAGTAGATACCATTTTGATATGTGTATTCTTTCATTCAATAATTATTTACTGGCACCTACTCTATGTCAGGCACTTTGCACGTTCTTGGGAAGATAACAGTGACCTTGATCTGATATCTGAGTTTGGGGGAAAGAAATCATGTATCAGGCCGAGCGCAGTGTCTCACACCTGTAATACCAACACTTTGAGAGGCTGAGGCAGGTGAACAACGAGGTCAGGAGACTGAGACCATCCTGGCTAACATGGTGAAACCCCATCTCTACTAAAAAAAACAAAACAAAACAAAAAAAATAGCCAGGCATGGTGGCGGGTGCCTGGAGTCCCAGCTACTCAGGAGGCTCAGGCAGGAGAATCGCTTGAACCTAGGAGGTAGAGGTTGCACTGAGCCAAGATCACACCACTCCACTCCAGCCTTGGGTGACACAGCGAGACTCCATCTCAAAAAAAAAAAAAAAAAAAAAAAGAAAAAAAAAGAAATCATGCACCAGTCAATAGTTGTTGGAATCTTAGAAAGGAATGCTTAGAAAAATGGAGTAAATGAACATATTTAAAATATGAACATCATTTTATTTTATTTTTAACATTTCAAAAACACAGAATAATTTAAACACCAACATCTTTACCAACTCTACTTCTAAGTAATAATCACTATGAGTAATTTGCTATATGTCCTTTTGGATTTCTGTCTGTTTACAAATACATATACAAAACAATTTCTTAAGAACATATGAGCAGACTTAATCCTGATTTGAACTTTTTCTTCTATTTAAGGGTGTTTCATGAGCATCTTTTCCAGCCACTAAGTGTGCTGATTTACCCCATTCTTCCCAATGACTATGCAGTATTCCATCTTATGGCTCCCCACTATTATCATGGATGGCAATATGGAATGGCAGGACAGTATTAACCAAAGGCAGAAGATAATTCTGCATTTAAGTTGTTGGTTTATAAATATTGTCCTATCCTGTCATAGAGAAGACTAACAATCTTTCCTGACAAATCATTGAACAAATAGTTTCATGATTTTTTTAAATGTATTTTTTTAGCATGAAAAATCAAAAAGTGTTTTTTAATTTTAATTAGTAAAACACTTTCATTGCTTTTAGTTTTATGGCAGGGATTCAGAAAAAGCAAATAGACTTAAAGCAACATAATGAATATAGGGGAAATTTTCTGTAGATCTTCAAAGAAAATGATATAAACATTATAAACATTACTGAGAAAATTAATTGCATGGTTACAAAGTAATACACATTTACTGGAAAAAGTGTGAAAAATATGCAGACATGTAAAGAAAGTATCACTGTGCAGATGGGAGGGTGGATTTTGGAAACATTTTTGAAAAAGAAAATAAAAATACCCTGAATCCTATGATTCAGAAATAACTTCCTCAACAACTTTTCTTGTTAGTATATATGCACACACACGTACACATTGAAAAAGCCTGAAAGGAGATAGATAGTTTGCACATTTATGTATGTTTGTATTGAACACTTTATTGGGTTTCCTTTATTACACAGTTTTCCTTTATTATACAGTGAGTCAACCAAAAATACAAATTTTTTAATAAAGTAAAAAAAAAGTGGGTTCATTTCAGGCCTACGAAGAATGACACCAACGAAATGATAAGAACGTTTTTTCTTTTTCTTTTTTTGAGACGGATTCTCACTCCATCACCCAGGATGGAGTGTAGTGGCGCCATCTCGGCTCACTGCAACCTCTGCTTCCCGGGTTCAAGTGATTCTAGTAGCTGGGATTACAGGCGTCAACCACCACGCCCAGATAATTTTTTGTATTTTCAGTAGAGACGGGGTTTCACCATGTTGGCTAGGCTGGTCTCAAACTCCTGACCTCGTGATTCGCCCACCTTGGCCTCCCAAAGTGCTGGGATTATAGGCGTGAGCCACCACCCCTGGCCAAGAGCCTCTTTTCTATCATTGCCTTTCTTCCAACAGGCTTATGGGTTATTAGAAAGTTTAAGATGGCTTTCAAAGATGAATTAGTTCCACACCGAATTTCAACAAATATCCAACAGTGAAAGCAAAGCACAAAATCCAGTAAGCCTGATGACGGTCATGAAATTTTGAATTGCAACCATCTAGAAACATAATCCAAGCTCAGGGTTATTTTGCATCCTCCAAGACTACCAATGCCAAGTACAGCATGGACCTTGTCTTCAGGCCTAGGAAGCTTTAAGAAGACAGGGGAGGAATGAGCTCCTTGCCTTACCCTGCAGCTCCAGTGTCCATGCTGGCCAGCACCAGAGCTTCACTCACCCTGCTTGTGGGATGGCTAGCAGAGCTGACAATCCCCTTGCTAGGTAACTAGAAGCATGTCACATCTAGCTTTTGTATACACAGAACCCCTGATCATCTTCTCACAGCTCTACACATAACAGAGACCCTCATGGATATGAGACAAATAATATCCTGCATAGTCTGATCCTTAACCATGACCCTCAATCACATAAACACCAGCCAGGTAGTTGAGGGAAGGGTTTCTTCCCACTATTTGGTGAAAGGGGAAAGTCAGAGAGCAGAAGGAGAGATTCAGATTAATAATGTTTAAAATGAAAATCTCTAGAAGCTCATTACTGGGGCCATTGAGTAAAGAGCACAGCTTTGGAGTCAACTGAGTCTTTCATTTATTCAGTCAACACTTAATGGCCCCATACTATGTGCTAGGCACAGTTCTAGTAGCTGAGAAATATCAAGAACCAAACAGACAAAAATTGATGTCTTAGTGGAGCATACATTCTAGCAAGAGGAGCGGATAATAAAAATAGCATTAGAGGGTGATAAATGCTACAGGAAAAGAAAACAGATTGGGGTAAGAATGATTGGGAGTGGGGAGTGGGTTGTAGGTTGTGGTTTTAAATAGGATGATCAGAAGTCTCACTAAGAAGGTGACATTGGAGCAAAGACTTGAGAAGGTGAGGGAATAAGTCATTTAGACATGGGGGGTAGAGGTTTCAGGCTGAAGGAACAGCCAGTGCAAAGGCCCTGAGGTGGCAGTAGGCTTGCAGGGTTGGAGGAGAGTGAAGGAGAGGAGATAATAGGAATTGAGATCTGAGACATAAGGTGTAGGGAGTGGGTGTGCATGCAAGACCTTAAAAATTACAAGGACCTTAAACATTATATGGACCTTCCACTTAGGTTTGAATCCTTGTACCATTATTTGCCAAAGGTCACATGTTGAGTGACTTTCTGAATTCCTATTTTGTTGTCTGTAATATGGGAATCTCATTAACTGGGCACAATTATTTTGAGGATTCAAATGGAATCATGCCTGTAAAATAACAAGTACAATGTCTGAAATGTGGTATGTTTGCAACAGATGTTGGTTCCCATATTCCTCCAGGTATAGTTGTGCACATTTTATACCTATTTTATAAATGTACACATAAACATAGAAGGGCAATGTGACTGACCAGTAGTTACCCAGAGGTAGGAATCCAAGTAGTTTTTAACTCTGTAAATAAATAACTATTTTTTTCCCAAAACAATAAATGCTGAACTATCATCAATAAAACTAATAGTCGTGGAAGGTGGTTTGTTAGGGATTCAAGTTGACTAAGGAATGAAATCTTGGATACATCAACCATTAGTGAGGACTGATATATTAGTAGAAATGTACAGGCAAATCTCATTATTTCCCATTTCCATTGAGTGTCTATTTCAAGGTTAGAAAAAAAATGTTATCTATCCTTCTGGGGCACATCTGAACATTCAAACAATACCAGATAGAATGGTCAGCTTGCAAACTTTTGAAAACACCATTGCCTGCAGGGTAGAAAAGGCCTCTGTTAGATATCAATCTGCTCTGCGATAACTTTTTTTATATGATGGCAGCAGTTTTTCTCTTATGTGGTGGTATCATTAGAGTTTCACTTAAGTTCACAAAAATCATTTTCTGGCTAAGTTTCCACTCAAACCCAGCTGCTACAGAAGTTGGACATCAGTGGGGGAGGCAATTAGTTAGCTAGTTATTATGACTTTACTTACTTAGTACATTTTTAGCAGAAGGAAAAATGACAAAAACCTAAAATAATTCTATAGAAATACACGAGTGACTCTTTTTACCCATAGCTCATTAGTACAGTGGATAGTATTTCAAAGAAGCCAATACCTATAACACCCTCTCTTGCTGTATGATTATGTAGTTGTCATCAGCTGAGAGGGCCAACAGGAACCATTTTAATAAAAATTATTGGGTACTTACTGTTGGAGGGCTTGAAACTATGGGAAGAACTGAAGATGGATTCCTCTCTGTAGGTAAATAACAACTGTATATAAGTTCTTGCCAAGACAATTAGTTATACTACCTTTGGATATTCTGCTGGTCAAATGCCCTTTTAGAAGCTTTAAAAAATATTTGCCAGGGAATTTCTTCAGGGGAACACATGCCTCGACTATTGTACAAAGTTTTCTCTGCTCTTAAGCACTAATGAATTATTTGGCCCCTAACTCTAGTCTGGAGTTTACCAAAAATCTGCACTACGTCTGTTTAATTGGATGAGGGGTTTTCCTGACAAATGTGTCTTATGATTTTTATACCCTTTATTAAATGCCCAATAAACATTCATTGAAAGCGTAGAAAAAAAATCTCACTTCCATTTCTTTCTACTTGCTCTATTACAAATCAAAGACTGACCACATACACACGGAGATTTACCTATTATATGTGTATACTAAATTATATGTGTAAATGTAGATGTATATACCACTTATATGTGTACACCAGAGTATACATAGATATATGATGAGGTGTGACTTTTTTTTTTTTTTTAACACACCAGAACATTTAGCTCCAAATGAGAGTTGCCCTTTCTGAAGTCATGAGATGACCAATTTATTTCACAGATACAAGTAAACATTTTGGGAACTCTTCTCTGGGCAGTTCTCTCATCACCTCTTGCCTTTATTGTGAATATCATCATTGGTGGCAAATATTTACCACTTCAAAGTAGATTTCTAAAAATAGCTAAAGGTCATTTGGGATCAAACTTCTAAAATAAGTAAGTCAACAAGCGGATAATATTATTTGTTACTTAAAAATATTGGGTAGGACCATAAACCAATGAGTTAATACTTTTTATAAGTACAGTTTACAACCTGCTTTAAAAAATAAAACAGCTTTATTGAAAATTAATTCACATGCCATATAATCCACCCATTTAAAGTGTACAATTCAATGATTTTTAGTATAGGCACAGAT